AAAAAGTCATTCGTGAGCTCCTGCTTGGGCCAGACACTGCTATATACATAAAGAAAGATAAACAAGGCCGAAGAGCGAAACTCCGTCTAAAAAAAAAAGCGTTGGAGGCCAGGCACTCATGCCTGTAATCCTAGCACTTTGGGAGGCCGAGGTGGGTGGATCACCTGAGGTCAGGAGTTCAAGACCAGCCTGGCCATCACGGTGAAACCCCATCTTAAAAAAAAAAAGGAAGAAAGACAAACAAGCAACAGAGGCATCATTCTGTGTCTGGTGGGGAAACACTAAGAAGAAAAAAGTGGATGTGCACAAAAAGGGGCTTTGAAGGATGATCAAGGAAAGCTGTCCTGGAAGATGACCTTTGGAGCTGAGGCCCAGGGGAGAGGAGGAGAGCAGGACCACCTGGGGATAGGGTCTGGGGAAGGGGAGGGTGAGGGTGAGTGAAGGCAGGAGGGTAGGGGTGAAGTATCTGGGTGCCTAACCACCCAGGCACCAGCCCTTCTCCAGGAGTGTTCCTAAGCATCCTGTGGGCACCCTCTCCTTGCTGGAGACAGGCTCTCACAGAGACCAGGTTTCATCCCCCATCCCACTTTGTCTACACTGGGCTCACACCACCCCTCACCAACTTGTCTGGCAAAGAGGTCCAGGATAGGCAAGGGTAGGGTGGGGGTGTGAATATCAGCTCTTACCGTAGTAGAAGGGATCGTCTTTACTGGCTGGAAAAAGGGGTGGGGAAGATTTCAGAACCAGGAGATAGTATGTGGGTGTCAGAGGGGAGACGTGGGCAGAGTGGGCAGGCTGTTTGGGGGCCTCACTCACCAAAGGGGTCACTGGCTTCCAAGGCAGGCAGGCCTGTGTGGGAGGAGCAGAGAAAAAGGGTGGAAATTCATGACACTGGTGTCCAAGTGAGCTGGGCAGCAGGACCCCAGACCCGAGGTTGTGGGGTGACCCTGGAGCCACCAGTTCCCTTCCTCACGTCCTAGACAGTCTCAGGGTTTGGCCCCCCACCCAGAGCCCTGCCTGCCCAGGGCCCTGCCTTCTGGGTTTGCACACTGACTGGGATGACTTGTTATGTCTCTGCCCACTGAAGAACAGGGAGTGCTTTTGTCTTTTTTTTTTTTTTTTTTCAGTTGGAATCTCTGTCACCCAGGCTGGAGTGCAGTGGTGCAATCCTAGCTCACTGCAGCCTCGACCTCCCGGGCTCAAGTGATCCTCCCACCTTGGCCTCTCAGAGTGCTGGGATTATAGGCCTGAGTCACCATGCCGGCCTGCTTTTGTCTTTAAGCCACTGGTGATTAATGTTTTCCACAGTTCAATTCCTCTGGAGCCATTAGGACCTTTTTGCAATATTTTCATTCTACCTGTACTGTCATTTCCTTCACTTTTTTCTCTAAATTGGCAATATAAATAAAGCATGCTGATTGAACACCAGGTACCCTTTGGGAGATGTTCTCTGGCTTTTGCTGCCTTTGTGGGTGGGGTGAATGCAGGAGGGTCCTGAGAGACTGGGAGAACTCACCTGCCAGTAGGAGAAGGGCCAGGGTCACTCTCTCCATGTCACAGTTCGAGGGGCAAGGCTGCAGGGGGAGAGGCACTGGGGCTGGGGTCAGCAGCTGGTGGATTTGCTCCAGGCTTACAGCTCACTTGGCCAGCTAGAGGGGGTGGGGGCAGAGCCCCATGGTGAAAGTAGGTACACAACGGATGCTGTTGCTTGTGGGGCGATCTTAGGCAAATGACTACTTTCTGTCTTCCCATCTAGAGAGGATAGTGGCTGCCTGGGGGAGTTGTGTGATTGAGTAAACATGAGCTAAGAGCTCAGAACAGGGCCTGCACTAAGTAAGTGCTGTAGAAGTCTTTGTGAAAATCCATGTGATAAACCCACCCCCCACTACTCCCCATAAGGAAGATATGATTGTTGTCTCTATTTCAGAGGAGGAAAAAAAAAAAAAAATGGAGCTTAGAGCTTGTAATCAGATGCCCAGGGTCAGGCAGCTGCTATTCTAAGTCAGGGTCTGGAGCTTGCCTTCCTAACCCTACACAAAGTGCATTGTTATCAGGCCCTAGGATATTGTTCCTAAAGGTCTGGGTCTGGGGTGGCCAGAGTCCAGCACCCTCAGGCTGAATTCCCAGACAGCCTCCACAAAAGCAAGGGTGCAGAGGAGGGGGCGAGCACTGAGTCCTGTGATAAGGCGACTGCAGCAGTCAGGACCTCCCCTGCCAGCCTGGCTGGGGACCCTGCTCCAGCAGCCCCAGATTCTGCTCTCAGAGTATAGACCTCCCGGTGGTGTGACATTTCTCCCTCAAGTTGGAGGTACCCAGGATCCCATTTACTTGTCCTTGGGGAGGCTGAGTTTTTGAGCACAGGGCCCCTCCCAGCCCTCTGCATATTGTTAGCCTAGAATGGTCAAATGTTCAATACTGAAGCCATTGTCATCGTCTGCTGCACGCAGCTCTGGCCTCCTGATGAGATCACAGATCCAGGGTCAGCTGTCTGGACTGGGTCCCTTCTCAGCCACTTACCGACTGTGTGACTCTGCAGGCTCCTCACCACTCCTTTGTCAGAGTCCTGTAAAAGGAGGATCATCAGAATATAGCAACCTCATAAGGTTATGTTGATGGAATTATGTGAATTACCATTTGTCAAGCTTAAGAACCATGCCTAGCACACAGCACTAAAAACTTGTTATAATACATACATCCATAGGCTGGGCGTGGTGGCTCACGCCGATAATCTCGGCACTTTGGGAGGCCGAGATGAGTGGATCGCCTGAGGTCAGGAGTTTGAGATCAGCTTGGCCAACATGGTGAAACCCCATCTCTACTAAAAATACAAAAATTAGCTGGGCCTGGTGGCAGATGCCTATAATCTCAGCTACTCAGGAGGCTGAGGCAGGAGATTTGCTTGAATCCAGAAGGCACAGGTTGCAGTGAGCTGAGATCTTGCCACTGCACTCTAGCCTAGGCAACAGAGTAAGACTCCATCTCAAAAAATAAATAAGTAAATAAATAATAAAAAATAAATACATCCATAAGTAAACACACACTCCTTCTGCAGCAGGAGGGAGGCACTGGAGAGAGAGACTGTTAGACACTGCTTCTGAACATGGGTTCTTGGGTTAGGAGCAGTCTCCAAAGCTGGCTTCCACCAGCCTTCATTGGTGCTACCTCCACCAACCTGGAGTTCCTGGAATAGGAGGGTCTCAACTCTAGGTCACATATTCTTTTTTTTTTTTTTTTTTNTTTTTTCTGAGATAGAGTCTTGCTCTGTTACCCAGGATGGAGAGCAGTGGTGTGATCTCGGCTCACCATAGCCTTTAACTCTCATGGCTCAGGTGATCTGCTCACCTGAGTCTCTCAAGCAGTTGGGACCATAAGCACAAACCACCAGTTCACATATTCTTTAGCCAAGGGCTGGCTCCTATTTCCTTCAGTCCCCAACCCACCGTCCATATGACAGTAGGTGCAACACAGGAGGTCTCCAAGTGACACCTGCAGCCATATCTGTCCTCAGACCCCTCAACAGGCTCCTCATTAAATTCTTGGGCAGCCACCCCCTTCACCTAGCATCCCCAAAGTGGATGCCTGCTCACCTTCGAGGTCACCTGAGTGAGGGCTCACCTGAGCTGGCGGTGCAGAGAACAGGTCTGAGGACGCTGCTGGGCTGTGGACGGCCCAGGTGGGTTGGGCTCTTTAAACCCCACAGCCCCGCCCAGGGAAAAATTAGCCGGGCGTGGTGGCAGGCGCCTGTAATCCCAGCTACTTGAGAGGGAACTGGTCAGGCTTCCTGAGACTCAGGCTGACCGGCCTGACACACCCAGGGCTGTGGGGGAGAGGCAGGCCTGGCTGCAAACCCTTTTTTGGCTTCTTTAGCCCACCCAGATCCTAAAAGAGGGGCCCAGAGCGTGCTGGGCAGGACGTTTCTAGGCTCTTTTGCCAGCTGCAGGGGTGCTGGGATGTCTGTGTGAGGGTGTCCTGGGGACCCTGGAGGAGACCAGGAGCCAGGCACTGGCCATGAGGCTCCCTGTGCTCAGCTGTGCCACTGCTGTCACTTGGACTGGATGTCCACTGAGGGGAGGCTGGTGGCTGATGGGCACCCCTGGGGGTGGTTCCCCCTCTGACAGGACCCTAACACCCACTTAGCCTCCCCAACAGCAGAGAGATGGGGTCAGGAGGAGGATAGCCACCCCAGGCTGAGGAGTGGCTGCCTCTCTCTGTGGACCACAGGCCTGCCTTGATGCTGGGCCGAAACTCACCCCATACAGGCATGTGGAGGACCCCAGTCCTCCCTATTCTACTGTTCCTCCTCCCTAATTTTTTCCAAATGAGAGACACTTGTCCCTGGATGGCTGACAAGGGAGGGGGGTCTCTGGGCTGGGAGGGTTAGGGAGGGCAATGGCAGTTTAGATGGTTTGTCTATTAATTAATTAATTAATTAATTTATTTATTTTTGAGACAGAGTCTCGCTGTGTTGCCCAAGCTGGAGTACAGTAGCACAATCTTGGCTCACTGCAACCTCTGCCTCCCAGGTTCAAGCAATTCTGTCTCAGCCTCCCAAGTAGCTGGGATTACAGGTGCAAACTCACCCTTCTGTGCCCAGCTAATTTTTGTATTTTTAGTAGAGGTGGGATTTCACTATGTTGGCCAGACTGGTCTTGAACTCCTGACCTCAGGTGATCCATTCTCTTCGGCCTCCCAAAGTGCTGGGATTACAGGCGTGTACCACCATGCCCTGTCGGTTTAGAGGGTTTAGACAGATGGAAAGCGCGGAGCAGGAGCTGTGCCTATGGCTGGCGGGGAGTGGAGGGTGTGGCAGGGGCAGGAACCAGCACACTCTCTGCAAGGAGCATGAGAGGGAGGAAGAGTCAAGGGCCTACTTTCCTTTGATTTCTCCAGGGGATCTATGAGACCCTCTGCACATAATCAAGCAAGCAGGCAGGCCCACAGGGCTCCCTCTATGTTCAGGTGGAAAGGGGAGTTGGTTTCACCAGTAATGGAAGGTTAGGCCTGGGGCATAGCACTGAGGGTGGTCAAGGTGAGAACAGAGAATTGGGTTTGGAGAGGGGTCCTTGGGGACTAAATGGCTGAGGGAACTTTGGGCTGGGTAGAAAACATCTCTCTCCCAGAGACATGGAGTCCTCTGTCTCCATGGGAAGCCCCCCAGCAGGACATGGCCTGGCAGGGCCTCTCCTGAGCAGGCTGGTTGTTGGCAAACGGAGAGAGGGGCACTGTCCTTGATCTCTTGCCTGAGCTTACATGAGGGGAGGTAGGGGGCTGGAGAGTGTGGCCCCCTTTTTGAAACAACTCTGTACACTGACTTGAAAATATCTCCCAAGCCTCTCAAGCATCATGAATATACATATATACATGCATACACATGCATGTGTATATATACATATATACATATAATATACATATATGTATGTATATATATCATAGGTATGAGCCACTGTGTCTGGCCCAGACATACTTTTTTTTTTTCCTTTTTACAGGCAGCACGTGGGCGCAGGGCCCCCACCAAGCTGCCCCAGACATACTTTTAAATGGAAAAAAATATAAAGCAGTCACTTGGGTAAAAATATAAAATATTTGCCAGGCGGGGTGGCTTACGCCTATAATCCCTGCACTTTGGGAGGCTGAGGTGGGCAGATCACCTGAGGTCAGGAGGTCAATACCAGCCTGGCCAACATGGTGAAACCCGGTCTCCACTAAAAATACAAAAATTAGCCGGGCATGATGATGGGTGCCTGTAGTCTCAGCACCCCAGACTGAGACAGGAGAATCTCTTGAACCTGGGAGGCAGAGGTTGCAGTGAGCCCAGATTGTGCCACTGCATTCCAGCCTGGGTGACAGAGCAAGACTCTGTCTGGGAAAAAAAAAAAAAAATGCTGGATACAGTGGCTCATGCCTATAATCCCAGCACTTTGGGAGGCGGAGGCGGGCAGATCACCTGGGGTCAGGAGTTTGAGACCAGCTTGACCAACATGAAGAAACCCTGTCTCTACTAAAAATACAAAATTAGCCGGGTATGGTGGCACATGCCTGTAATCCCACCTACTCAGGAGGCTGAGGCAGGAGAATTGCTTCAACCTGGGAGGCAGAGGTTGCGGTGAGCCGAGATCGCACCATTGCACTCCAGCCTGGGCAACAGGAGTGAAACTCGGTCTCAAAAAAAAAAAAAAGTCAATGCTCCTGTATGCAGGGACTCTCCTGAGCCACTGGTGGCAGAGTTATCAGGGAGAGCACTTCTGGTCAGGGGAAGGCCAGAAAGACACTCTGCATTTGACTGGCCTTTCTATGCCTACCACGTCTGTTCAGAAGCAGAATCACACTGAAGTTCAGGCAGCCTCTTGGGGCCTGGGCCTGCCGTGGCTGTGTCTGTGTGCATGCTGGGGGCTTAGCACAGAGGAGATGTCCAGGTGTTTCCTCTGCCCGCTGTTTACTTGAGCTCATTGCATATATGACTGCACTTAGCCCTCACAGAGGTCCTTGGAGGTACATACTCTCAGCCTGTCAATCTACAATAATCAAACAGGTCAGATTTTGTTTTAAAGGAGTTTATTAAGTGTAAAGGTTAAGGACAGCCTGTTCAGGAAGTACGGATTATAAAGAATGGAAGTCAGAGTTTTTTTTTTTTTTTTTGAGACGGAGTTTCGCTCTTGTTACCCAGGCTGGAGTGCAATGGCGTGATCCCCGCTCACCGCAATCTCCGCCTCCTGGGTT